TCCGTCTTTCATTGCTCTCCTGGAATGCTTGTTTTCCAATATTTGAATATTATTGTTTATTTTTTTTAAGATGGGATGACAAATCCAGCCTGTTACTCCATCTTGACTGGAAGCAGAAGTTGAGAGTACCTCTTACTATTCTTCATGACAACCTGGGAGGTACAAATAAAGTACTTCTGCTACATACTGGACAGCTGTCTCAAGGAAAAGCACCTCAATTGTTTGAGATGCATGAAGAGCCATCTGCTTTTATCATAAAATTCTACTCTGCTTGGAAGAATAATTTATTGGTAAGTTATTCAGACTTGTATATTTGGCAGGTATTTGTTTGAAAAGAAATAAAGTAATACTTTAAACAATAAAGATTTTTTAAAAAAAGAAAGAAAATGAATAAAGTTTGCCTATGCCTTCAAGAATAATAACTGACAGTATTTATAGCCAATGACAGAACTTGGATCTTTCAAGTAAAAATGGGAATTTTAGAAAACTTGTATCTGCTACCATAAGCTTGACAGTTTTCTGATAGTAACAACTTTTCTGACAAAGTCAATTTTAACAAACGTAATTTTAAAAATACTATATAATGAAATGTTCGACATTTGGAATATCTGCAAAACTCAGTGAACCAACATTTTCCAAATGCTCTATGCTCAATCATAGAGAAAAGATCCATTCAAAGTATAAGAGAGACCAATGCATTTTAATGTCATGGAGTAAAAATTATTATTTGTATGGTTTCAGATTCCACACTGCAGCAATTTTTTATGACATTGCCATTTGTCATGCTTTGGTTTAATAACAAAAAAAATTATCCAGAATTATCTGAAGAGACTTTAAAATATTCTTTCTTTTTTCTATTACATGTTAGAGTGAGGCCAAATTTTCTTCATATACTTTAACCAAAATAACATACTACAGCAGACTGAATACATAAATAAATCCAATTGTTTTCTAATAACTCACACATTAAATTTTTTTAAAAGTTCAAAAATGCCAATCCTCTCACAAAATTCTTTGTTTTAGAAAACGTAGTGGTTTCATAAGAAAATGTTATTTAAAATATACTGATATACAGCTTTTGTTATTTTTATATCCATAATCAAACATATATATAATATCTGGTTTCATTTTCAATACAATAAATATTAATAGACACAATGCACATAAGCAAAAGCTATTTGTGGTCCTGAGAGACCAAAACATGTGAGAACTGCTGTGTTAAACTATTTTACCTAGGAGAGATAATACATGAAGCCAATGGAATCATCTAGGAAGATTTTTGTTTTTGTTTTTAAAAAATGGCTAGGTGCCACCCCTACAGGTTCTGATAAAATTAGGCTCGTGTGTGGTCTGGACATCAGGTTTCTTTAAAATTCCCCAGGTGATTCTAGCAGGACTGAGAACCACTGCATTAATCACATACTCTGAGAAATACATTAGCAAAAACCACATAATAGATTAATGATGACATTAATAATCATGTTGTGTAGTAGCTATTTTGTCAGGCCCTGAGGGCAATGGTAAAAAAAGATTGGTAAAGTGGGCTAACCCTAGACTAATTATGGAGCAGGCAATTTAGATTCAAACCTCCCAACTTTCCCCTCGCTTTTTGCCTCTGCAGAAACACCTTGCCATTTTTGTTTCTTTGTTAATCCTCACCTGAGGATATTTTTTCCATTGTTTTTCAAAGATAGTGAAGAATTCAAAGACAGTGAAGGGAGGGAGGAGGGAGGGAATGAGAGGGGAAGAGAGAGAGACGGAGAGAGGGAGAGAGGGAGAGAGGGAGAGGGAGAGGGAGAGGGAGAGGGAGAGGGAGAGGGAGAGGGAGAGGGAGAGAGAGAGAGAGGAGCATTAATGTTAAGAGAGACACATCAACTGGCTGCTTCCCACGTATGCTGGACAAGGAGCAGGGAGCGAACCCACAACCCAAGCACATGCCCTAAGCTTGGAATAGAACTTGTGACCCTTCAGTGCTCAGGCCGATGCTCTAACCATCAAGCACACTGCCTTTTGTGCCTTTAATAGCCATGGAGAATATAAAGCGGCCCACATTATATCCCTGCCCAAATCCATCCACCACTGCTTTCAAAAATGGAATGAAAATGTTTGCCAAAAAAACAAGTTTGCTTCTGCAATACAGAGTCAGACTTTTGCTGTTCCCTAGAAATCTCAGGAATCCAGATTTCCTGTAAATCTTCCCAACTCCTTTCACCACAGATCAGAGGTCAAGGTGGCAATAAAACTTAGGGAAGAAAACCTCTTTCCCCTGGTTTTCTGGCCCTCTCCCTCCCCAGCCCTTTAGGATAGCAGTTCATGCTCCTCTGAAAGCAGGGAGAACACGCTTCATAAACCCGGATTCCTTTTCCCAACACTAATCCTGCCCCCAAGCAAAATTCCTTTCATTCTTTTACTGTGTCCTGGTTTTTTAAAATTGATTTTTCTCTGTGGGCTCTGAAAAAGAAAAGGCTTCAAAATCCAAAAAAAAAAAAAAAAATGAATTTTACTTCACTCAAAGAGAGGAGACTAGAGAGAATCAAAAAAGGAGAAGCAAAGAGAAATTTCATCTCCTTACAACTCAATGAAGAGACTTGATCGATACAATACCAAAACTGACTGCAATGTGAAGTTTGTCAATTGTTAGCAAGCGTAGATAAACAGATAGTGTATGTATCTATATTTATAGATACATTTCAACTTTTTATTCAAAAAATTGTCTATAATAAACTTATTTTGCATCTTACAGGATCAAGTAGGTGACAAGGCACCAATTTCTGGACTATATTAATGATAGTATGTGAAAGACAAAAAGCTGTTAGCTCAAGAACTTGTTTCTATTCAAAGTTACTGGCTACATTTTTATGGTGTTAGGTTAAAAATATGATCAAGGATGTTAGGTGTGTCAATAATAAGTTTTTAAAGAACCTCTAATTCTATAAATTAGGATGATGAGAGATATTATTATCTTCATTGTTAATGAGAAAATTAAAGCACAGGGAAGTTAAGTAACCTGCCCAGGGGCACACAAAGCCAGCTCCACGGCAGCCAGTGCACTTTTACTCTAACCTACAGGTTTTTCCAGTTTCAAAGGAGAACATTTCAGTGGTCAGTAAAATCCAACGTTTACTGTGCCAAGGTGAATTTTGCTGAATGTAAAGCCAGACACCTGTGAAATTATTTTATTTCCAAGTTATAAGCAGAATAAGCATTTGGTGTTGCCCTCTCTCCTTTAATCAGATATCTAATGCCATATTTATTAGAAGGGGAAAAGGTGAACTTTTCAAAAAGAGTCAATACTAAACTGTAAGTTAATATGATTTAAGTCACGGCTGAGACACTTTGTTGTCTTTTGTTTTGGGGGTCACTTATGGATTTTCCAAGATATTCTATTCTATTTGTCTATGTTTTAATGATATAAAATTGTGAGGTTTTTCTACTGATCAGGCTACACAGACTGTAATCAGATTTAACTATAAAAGTGCTCTTTTTCTCAATTTTGTCATCTTGATATAGTATTAATTGTGATGATTAATTAGACCCTTTCTGACTCTTCATGAAAGGACAATTGTTCCATGAGTAATTTTCAAGTCATACCAAAAAAATAAAGCTTGTTTTTAAGATTCAGGTGAGGCACAGCAGCCTCAAATAAAAGAGGAAGAAGGACTCTAAAATCTCTTTCCACAGGATTCAAAAATAGAATGTTTAAAAAGCAAATAAAAATGACACAAATTCACAGAAAATAGCAACAGTCATTTAAAAAACAATTTGACTATGCCACACATAGCTATTAATAATAGAAAGTTGCAACACACTATCATAACCCAAATTCTGCCTTAAACCACATATGTTCATATATATTTCTTTATTTTTGGTTAAAATTAGAATGAATTTATGCTGTTTGTTTTATTTATATATCTGAAAATATTAGCATAGTATTTCAAGCGTTTTAGGACTTCTAAAACAATACAGACTGTGGTCATAAAAAATCCTTTCTGCCCAATGGTCTGTATTTACATCATTACCCAAACTATAATAAATTAAATGGACTTATCCACCTTCAATTTTAATGTTTGAAAAAGCATTTCAACAGAGCTGAGCATCAGCACCAGGCCAAGAGTGTACCTAAATTTCCCTTAAGAAGAAGCTAAATTACTCAGCATACAATTTTAGTAAGACTAATCCCCTTCTGTCACTGGCCAAACCATGATCTTTTGTGGGTTTTACTCAGTAAATCACATACCTATTATGGGGAACACTAAAGTTTGAATTTAGAGACCTGTAAGAAAGCAAATGATATTAATTTACTTTCATGATGTATCTGTTTAGTTCTCCAAGAAAATCCTTCTAACAGTTTAAGATTAAATATATACTTCAAATTAAGAAGAAACAAAATTGTAATTTTAGAAAAGTGGGCTGGGAGGAAATTTCATTAACAAACGAAGTGCCCATAGATAAACTGTGCATCTTTTTTTTTAATTTTTCTTTTTTTAGTAAGATATATTTTTATTGCTTTCAGAGAGGAAGGGAGAGGGGGAGAGAGACAGAAAAATCAATGATGAGAGAGAATCATTGATCGACTGCTTCCTGCATGCCCTACACAGGGGATAAAGCCCACAACCTGGACATGTGCCCCGATGGGGAATCGAACCGTGACTTCCTGGTTCATAGGACAACGCTCAACCACTGAGCCATGCTGGCCAGGCTAAACTATGCATCTTCATTCCACATTGAGGCAAATTGGTCCCCTTCTTTAAATTCTACTCTTAGATTACAGAAAATGAACACCAATCAGAAAACAAGCTAATGGCTTATGACATTCAGGACCATACAGGATACAGTATAAATTATTACTCAGGTCTTTTAGAGACCGAAACTGTGAGAGAAACATGGCATAGCGGTTAGATAACAGCCTAATTATGCACATCTCTGTGTGTTAGTATTTCATATGTTTATCAAATTATGCAGCTAGTTACATAATGATGATTTTACAGTGCGCACACACATATCTTTAGCATATACTTTAATTTGTAAAAGACTTTGAAAGTATAATCTTTACAAGAGTAGGGAACTGGCAGTATACTACATTTTCAATAAAATACTGAATGTCTGAAAACAAATACATTATGATTACTTAAAGGAGTGCCTGACAGAAATATAAAGAGTATCTGATGCATTATAGTATGTAATAATACAGCCTAACCAATGATAACAGGTACACAATGATCTTCCATGAACCCTGCTATCTTCTTTCATTATTGTCCTCTTGCCCTTTGCTTCCATTTTAATGTAGCTAACACCATTAGTTCTCAAGTGCCAGTTCCATATTAATGCCTGTTCAGGACTGTTTTCTCAGTCTGTTACAAAATGAGAAAATTAAGAAAAAAATGTGTTTTATTATTAATAAGGTAATTGTAGTTAATAAAAAAGCTAATCTTCATTCTTATATTTTTCCTTCATACTTGATGTTACATTTTAAAAATTATATAATAATTTCTAAATTAACTTAATAAATCTAGAGTTTGTTTTTTTATTGTCTTGCTCAGCTGTTGTTCAATTATGGTAAAATACACATAACGTAAAATTTGTCATCTTAACCATTTTAGGAGTACAGTTCAGTGGCATTTAATATATTCACATTGTTGCACAATCATCACCACCATCCATATTGAGAACTCTTTACCCATTAAATAATGACTCCCCATTCCCTCCTCTTTCCAACCTTTGGCAACTGCCATTCTACGTTCTGTCTCTCCGTATTTGACTATCTAGGTACCTCACGTAAATGAAATCATACAGTATTTGTCTTTTTGTGACTGGCTTATTTCATTTAGCATGATGTCCTCAAGATGCTTTCATGTTGTATAAGAACTTCCTTCCTTTTTAAAACTGAATAGTATTCCATTATATGTATACACTACATTTTGCTTATTCACTCTTCTAATGGACATCTGGTTGGCTTATGCTGCTATGAGCATGGGTGTACAAATATCTTTTCAAGACCTTGCTTTCAATTCATTTGGATATATACCCAAAAGTATAATTGATGAATCATATGATAATCCTATTTTTAATTTTTGAGGAACAGCTATACTGTTTTTCCACAGCAGCTTCACCATTTTACATTCCTATCAACAGTGCATAAGGATTCCAACTTTTCCAAATTCCTGCCAACACTTGATGGGTAGGAGGTAGTATCTCACTGTAGTTTTTATTTGCATTTCCCTAATGATTAGTGGTTTTGAGCTCTTGCTTTATTTTAATGTTCTTAATCGGCAAAACAAGAAGTTGACAACTCAGTCTCCAATTTTTTGTAAATGTATTCATCATTGAAATCTGAAAATCTGAGAACTACCAGTGTATTCTCTGTATCTTCCTCTCATCTTCCATTTACCTCTTCAATTCACTTGTTTGCCTTTCGCTCTCAGTCTTCTCCTGACACCTCTTTCACCAGAGTCAACAAATCATTAACTTATCATTGTCAAATAGAATGGACCTTCTTTAGTATTTACATGATTAGTGAAAAGCACAGAGGCTCTGGAGTCAAACATAGAATCCTGCATCCTTCAGCATAACACACCACCAAGGAATGTAATTCCTGCCCCTGGTCTTCCTGCACGGTAATGTCATCCTTTTCCATAGTTTCATTCTCCACCCTCTGCAATGACTCCCAAATTTCTAGTATTCAACCATGTCAGCGGAAGACTAAGACTGGGAAAGGCACTTTGCAAGGGATGTAAGGATGAATTAGATAAGACTCCTGCTCTCTTACAGTTTAGTAAGAGAGAGATTAGGGTAAAGATGTGTCACAGGTGCTATGGAAGAAAGGAATGGTTATTCCCATCAGGCCTGAAGTAGACAGGAAAGGCATCCCAGAAGACTACTGGAACGGAAGGAGTCTTTGAAATGTTTATCAGGTGGAAAACGGGGAGACAGGTGTTGCATGAACAAAAGTCCACCACTGCCTGAGGTCCTAGATATATGAAGAATGGGGGTTAGCAATATGAGAAAGCAGGAAGGGGCCCATGGAAGGGGGCATGCCGTGCTCTAAAGTTAGCACAAGAAAGACACTGGTTAGCAACTGAAGGATTTTTTTTTAATATATATATTTTATTGGTTTGTTACAGAGTAAGGGAAAGAGAGAGAGAGTTAGAAACATTGATGAGAGAGAACATCAATCAACTGCCTCCTGCACCCTCCCTACTGGGGATGTGCCCGCAGCCAAGTTACATGCCCTTTACTGGAATCGAACCTGGGACCCTTGAGTCCGCAGGCTGACACTCTATGATTCAATAATTGTTTTTTGAGCCAAACCAGTTAGGGCAGCAACTGAAGGATTTGAGGCTCAGGGAATCATAGGATCGATTCCGCATTTTAGAACTACTGCTCTGGTGGCAGAGTGGAGAGTGGGTTAAAGAAGAGAAGATTCGAGGCAGGGAAATCTCTTCGATCCTTTCAGTAGATCAGGTGAGAGTTAATGAAAGGCCTGAACTAAGATGGTAATAGTGGAAAAGAAGGAAGGGCATACAACACAGGAAACATGATTGTATGAAATTGGCGGGGTTTAGCCACCGATTAGATTTGGAGAAAAGAGAAAAGGAATTTAGGCTGACTAAGAAGTTTCTGTCTTGGATGACTAAACAGACAGTGGTACTATGTGCTCAGATTGGAAACACGTAGAGGAAGAAGAAAAGATGAGTTCAGCTAGGGACATGCTGAAATTGTGATCTTTCTCTGGGACATTCAGGTGGTTACAGAAAGAGATCAAAGGATATTTTTCCATTGATTTTGTTTTTTGTTTTTTTTAGAGAGATGGGCAGGAGGTGGGGGCTAGAGATACAGATTTGTAAGATGGAAGTTGCAGCCATATGGAGCAGATGCAGCAGATGCCCTGCCAGTATCCCCTCCACACGCACCATTCAGGTGAGGGCTTCTAACTGCAAACACCCGTGTGACTCTGTTGGGAGCCCACTGGGTGGGCAGGCCAACTCAGGAGGTAATGAGGAGTGACTGCTGTAGGGCCTGGGATTGCTTTTGGGGGGTAATAAAAATATTCTCAAATTAGATGGTGTGATATTGCATAACTTTATAAATGTACTAAAACCCAGTAAATTGCACACGTTTAAAGAGTGGATTTTATGGTTTATAAATTACATCTCAATTTTTTTAAATTGTGAAGAAAAAAACCCAATGGCTCAGCCTAACTGAACTGCTTAGTTCACAAATGTGCCCATGTTTTCACACCTATGTGCCTTTGCTCACTGTTGCTTCCAACTAGAATTTTCTTTTTTTTTTTCCCATTCCTCTCCCCATATTTCCAAATCCTACTCTTTCTTCAAAACCTAGCTAAATTCTCTTTTCCCATGCACTTACCCTTCCCCAGGTCAGGGGAATGTCTTGTGCTTCTCTAACATCTGCTAGCTATTTATTTTGCTTCCTGCTTTTTTTTTTTTTTTATACTCTCTTCTCGGTATTAGAGATTTTCACATATCTTGTTTAATGCACTTTAGGTTCCTGAGAACAGCTGTTTTACCTGTAGATCTATTAAGTAAGTGCCTTGCACATAGTAACCTCTCAAAAAACAATTATTGAATCAATACATCAAGGACTGAGAAGTCTCAAAGGGAATCTAGGAAAAAGGACAAACTAAATTAACGTCAATTAGCCTTCAGCTAAACACTTCATCATGATTTAAGGAACTATGAGACAACTTAAAGCCTATGAAGTCAGAATTCTTTCTAAAGACACTTGAGATTTTGAAGTGTATGATCAGAGTACAAATTATAGTAAAATGCTCAGGTCATTCTAGTCTAACTATATTATAAATAAAATCAACATGCCCTGGCCAGGTGGCTCAGTTGGTTGAAGTGTCATCCTGTACATGAAAAGGTTGCTGGTTCCATTTTCGGTCAGGGCACTCACCTAGGTTGCAGGTTTGATCCCCAGTGGTCTCATGTGGCAGGCAGCCAATCAATGTCTGTCTGTCTGTCTGTCTGTCTGTCTCTCCCCCCCCCCCCCCCTTTCCTCTTTCTCTAAAAATCAATAAAAACATAATCTTGGGTGAGGATTAAAAAAAATAATATATAATCAAATGGTAAATTATATAAAGCCACATATAAATGCAAATAAAGAAAAGAGAGGTGTTATGTGGAATTCTCACACACACACATACACAAATCCTTAAGCCTCTAATAGCAGCTTGATTCGTTTAGAAAAGTTGCTTCTAGGAAGAGTAACATCTGTCTCTTTAAGGACCAGGAGAGAAAATGGAAGTCACTAGTGAGACGGGACTGGCTGTAAACAGCTCCAATGAGGTCCTGGGAATCCTGCGAGAGAGGATATTTGGGGCTGGACTAAAACGTCCGCTGGGAAGTGGAAGGAAGAAAAAGGCAAAGTTAGGTAAGAGCATTCTTAAAAAAAAAAAAAAAGGTAAACAACTGAATTTACTTTCAATTTTACAGTGAAAGAACGGCAGGACCCTCTGAAGAATAAGGTATAATTAGATGGAATGAGAGCTACTACTGGATGCGAGACATTTAGCAGCCTCCCATTCCTGAGAATGTTTTTTGAAAAACATAGCTTCAGAGTAGGACTAGAGTTTATACGATTTTACTTGTCCCATCTTTGATAGAAATTATTTTAAAATCCTCATTTCTTCCCTTTTTTTTTTAATCTTCACCCAAGGATATTTTTCTATTGATGCTTTAGAGAGAGGGACGAAGGGAGTGGGGGGAGACCAGGCAGCGCGAGAAACATCTATGTGAGAAAGATAGTCGACTGGTTGCCTCCCACCCCGGGGATGGAGTCCGCAAACCCAGGTACATGCCCTTGACCGGGAATCGAACCCGCGACCCCTTCGGTCCTCAGGTAACGCTCTAACCACTGACCACACCGGGCAGAGCAAAATTCGCACTTATTAACTTTCAAACCTGGGACAGTCATTAAGATGGATTACTTGGTATAAAAAGTAGGGAGCCACTTAACTTTCTTTCTGTTCTCAAAAACTGCCCTCTTGACCTCTGCTTGGGGGTGGGAGGATTGTTGACTGCAGCCCTTCGCTTGTTTCCACACCATTTACTTTGGGGGTAACATTTTGACAGAAGGAGAATCAGGTCGTTTCTGGGACAGCTGCTCGGGCTTTTCTCACATAAACCATCAGTGATTGAACACAGGGCGTGTTTTCCTTTTAGATCAGCGGTTCTCAACCTGTGGGTCGCGACCCCCTTTGGCTGTGGGTCGCGACCCCCTTTGGCGGTCGAACGACCGTTTCACAGGGGTCGCCTAAGACCACCCTGCATATCAGGTATTTACATTACGATTCATCACAGTAGCAACATTACAGTTATGAAGTAGCCACGAAAATAATTTTATGGTTGGGTCACAACAGGAGGAACTGTATTTAAAGGGCCAGAAGGTTGAGCACCGCTGCCTTAGATGCTCACCCGCACTCCCACCCCCGCCCCACTCACCTGGCACTGCCACCTGGATTCCCGGCCAGGAGAAGCCTGGGTCCGTGACTCCTGACCGCACTTCCCTCCGATGGCAGGGGTGCGCCCTCGAATTTAAAGATGGCCAAGTAGGAACCCCGAGACACATGGCAAGGAGCCACTTCAGTTCCCTCTGCGGTCGGCTGGGGCTCTGGATGCCTCCGCCCCGGTGCCAAGTGCCGGGGGCTCTGCCAGCCGCCGGTGGGGAGCTGGGGG